CCACCGCTCTCTCTCTCTCTCTCTCTCTCTCTCTCTCTCTCTCTCTCTCTCTCTCTCTCTCCACTTGTTTGGGATGACGGAAAACAACTTAGGGTTTATCGAGAAATTTGCATTCATGAAACTGAATCACTGGAAAATCACATTTTCTTGTCTGAAATCCCATAACATATCCTGGAAATCCAGTTTGATGAAAACGAAAGTGACCTTCCTTGTTCTTTTCCCCCAAGTCTGAAATTGGTTTCAATTGGATTCCATGCTCTGATGCAATCAAAACCCATGAACGATGCAAAAAGCCCGATGCTTTCAACGCAATCAGACCAGTGAATCATGTGAAAACGACAGGTGAAAGTTCAATGCCTTGTTGCCTAAGTTACACTTGCTTGCATTCCACGGCATCTAAGCAAGTGACTGGCAGACCATTTTTATTGAGAGATCTCGCCCGGAAAAGTGAACATGTTTCATGATTCTGAGTAGGTGGGTATCGGAATCCCCGAGTTCTCAGTCAAGTTCTTGTAAGCATTTTGCAGTTTTCTCGTCACTGGCCCGACCCTCCCGTCTCCGATCAATCGCCCGTCGATTTTCACAACCTATAATTCCACACACAAAAAAAAAAAAGATTGGAGGGAATGTCACAAGAGCAGCAATGAAAAGAAACAGTTTCTTGCCTAACGAGATCCTCTGCGGAAGAGATGGGTGAGAATTTCGGCAAGGATCGCATGAAGAAAACCTTTTTGATGATGCAGGGAATTATGATAACGGTTTTCGGGTATTTTCCAGAGATTCTAATGTATGTATGTGTACGTAGTTTCGAAAAGAGTGGCGTACCGGGCTGAGTTCCCCCATAGTTCCCGTCGTCCATACCTGAAAAAAGCGAGATTTCGTTGTCTACTTGTCAGAAGTTGTAAGAAGAGAAACCAAACTCTGATAGTTCGAATGGTTCAAAGATCAGGAAGCGAGAGATCGAAAATACGAGGAGACCTCATCAGCTGTATGGAATTCCGAGAGGCTGATTCTTCGTTCTTCCAATACGAAATTCTCTTTCACCACAAGGTCCATGACCTAAACATGGAGTGCGGGAAAAAAAAAGACGATCATGTCGTGTTACTGAGATAAGTTCGAAAGGAAAGATTGAGAATTTCTCGCTTACAGTAGCTCTGGTAATCCCCGGGAGACAGTAATCCGCGTGAGGAGTGAGAACGCGGCCTTTTTTCACCATGAACTGGGAAAATAATATGCAATATTACCAATCCGATCATTTCATAAGCAGATACGAAATCACAAGATCTGATTAGTAAAAAAGACAAGACGAATGGGATTACAAGATTCGTAGCATTGGTTTCAGACACGAATCCATCGTTGTCAAGCATGATGGCATCATCAGCATTGGCATTGTTTCCTTCTACCTGTATTCATTATCAAACTCTCTTAACGAACTTTCGGGCGAAAACTAATAGATGATATCCACTATTATCATCATCAAAACATGGAACTAAACTTCAAAGGGCAAGCTGGTATTAAGACAACCTTGGCAAGAATGTTGTTGAGAAGGTTGTTGTGGTGAATCTTGGAATCCAAATTCTGAAGGAAAAAAAAAAGGAAAGAGAATCAGAAATAACAAAATGGGTAAATCCGTTTTCAATGAAGAGCATAAAACAAGACAATAGTTCATACGTTTGGCGAATTCCGGCGTGTAGTGGCAGTGACCAGTACAATCCCGCTCTCGTTATCGTATACTGGAGGTTTCCACTCGGGAAGCACTGCATTAGTTTAACAAACAGATTAAACCTTTTTTTCACGTAAATCAAACTTCCGAGACTTAGGTTATAGGGTGCAGACTAATGGTTTCGATAGTTCCAGAATGCTGAAAACCCTACCGATAAGAGTACATCCGTAACGATTGAATGCAGGGCTCATTCCAGAAGAAACCTAGAAGCCACGAAAGCGTAGGTTACATAATCAAAATGAGAAAAAAGAAAGAAAGAAAGATGGATTCTGCATCGTTTTCGAGAAAGATTAGGTTAGAATGTATATACCTTTTTCCCCCGAGTTAGAGAAAGCCTTATATGTGTATTGTCGAACATTCCGTTTCTGATGAGAGTTGCAAAGATTGCTTCTTTCATCTGTAATAATTTGTCACAGAAAATTTAACAGAGAATGATGAAAAGGGCTGTGTTTCATTAACTGTGAAACCCCGAAGCTCTTACCTCTTCACGCGAGGGGACGTTGTTGAAAGCCAGAGCCTTTGCCGAATCAAACAGCCTAATGTTCAAGAACCCGGAAAGCAAAGATCAACCAACATATGTTTTTTCTTTTTTCTTCAAGAATCTTTTTTCTTTTACTGCTTACCGATCTAAATGTTCTTCAAGCTTGAATACCTTCCCCTTGTAAACCCGAAGTCCTTCCCATACCGAATCTCCGCCTTGCACAACCGAGTCGAATACAGAAACCTTAACAAGAACAAAGTCATTGGAACATCAGCATTCACGACACAAACCGAGAATTTCTAAGTTGTCTTGAACAAATCAGGCACCTTTGCCATCTCGCGTGGCAAAATCTCATCGCCGATCCAGGCGAACAGTTTTGCATTTTCAGGAACCGGAAGATCAGGAGGAGGTAAAGGGCTGCTCAAGAGGGAAGACTTGTTCTTCACATGACGCTTAAGAACGTTGTAAAGTGGCAGAGTTTGTTCTAGCAACTCGTAATGCGACAAAGGGAACGTCTGTGGAAAAAAACCCGAGTTTTTTGTTTCAATGACGATTATTGAATTCAGAGTCTTTACAGCAAGAAAGCAAGTTCAGACCTGAGGATACTTCTTCGGAGATGAGAAACCCGTCGATTTATGAACAGTCTTGTACCACCACGGTGCCCATAGTCCATCTTCTGTTTTCGGGCCAGCCTCCCATCTTCAAGAAACAAAAAAAAAAAGACAGATTATACCTTTTGTAATCTGAAAAAACCTTAGAGATTAACCAGAAGGGGATTTACTTAAGCATAGAGGACTGAAATGGAATCTCCAAGTCATCACAGAGACCATGTAATACAGCCTGCAAATAGATGAATGGTCATGAAGTATAAGCATCCATTTGCAAGAGATATGGATTTTTTTTTTTTGTAGAATTTTGGTACAAAGAACCTCGGGATTCTGTTGAAGCTCATCAGCATCAATGATCGGAGGCGGGTTTCCTATCCTGCAGAGATCATTGTATATCGAAACTAATTCTCCCAAGCCCACTTCTGAAAACGATGGAGGGATTACTTTGTCAAAGGAAGGCTGCAAAGACAACAAAACAACCGAAAAAAAACGAGTAAAGATCTCCGAAAGTCGTGACAATGAAACCCGGATACACAAGTTCGTCATGTTAAAGAATGCTAGAGAAATCGACTTAGAAAAATCGCCAAGACAAATATAAAGATAGGAGCTTTAGAAAGGTTGTTACCAATATGTTGAGAGGGTTGCGTATCAATATAAAGTGTTTTCCTTTACTCATCAGCTCACTCGACAAACCGAGAATCCTTTGTTTCGAAATATGCTGTTGAGACAGGACGGGAGAACACGAAGAAGACAATCACGATTTAGAACACAACTCAACAATTGAATGTCAGAGTTTTACAACTCAACCTTCAACAAATAAAGATACACAACAACAAGGAGAGTATGTTGGAATCATAACAGGAATCAAGAAACTTCAAAATCGAAATAAAGGGATGAGTAAATCACCTTGCAGTACCGGTACTTCTTCTTTCCTGGTCCATAAATGATATCTTTGACAACCTTATTTCCATCAGATTCCTATTCAAAGCAAGCAAAAACCACACTTAACAACCTCAAAAGAACATTGAACCGGAAAAAAAAACATCAACTTTTATGTACCATTTTTGACAGAAGCTCTTCTCTATATGGTCTATCAACACTCGCCGCTTTAAGGAAGGCAGCGTATAAGGGCTCGTCAAGAACTTCTGTGTCATCCCTCTGAGGAATTCAGACAGAAATCATTCTCATCATCATAAGAAAGTTTTGATATCTTCAGAAACTAAACAGAACCAGTACTATGTTGTCTCTGTAAGGGAAGAAAAGAAAGCTGTTTTTCTCAGTGATTCTCTGTATTTTCTCGGCAGATATTGAATCAAACCAAGATCTTTTCAACTTTTCGGTGATGATCAGCCCTAGGGACGCAGGCAGAGAAACGTTATGATACAACCCAGAAGAAGACGAAAGCCAAAGTTTGATCCTTTAATCATAAACAATCAGAAAAATTCCACCTTTTCCAGGTCTGGTAATCTATTTTCTCAGTACCCAAACGGGCGATCGAACAGACGAGAAACACCCAAGAAAAAAAATGGATTTTTGTTTAATCACCTAAAACTTGATAACGACAGCAATCATGCAAATCAACCGCAAATCAGTACCGTGAGTGCTCAAATCTCCATCAAATTTTCCATTTCTCTTCCATTTTCCGGGAAAATCTTGGGAAAAAGGCACGAGGGTACCTGGGAAAACGAGTACATGAGACTCGTGCTGAGTGATCTTGGAGCAGACCATGAGTGAATAACCTCCGGCTCCGCCATTGACGACGATGAAACCAAATCGAAACGGCTCTTGTGATCACTACACACAATTTTCAGAAACTGCGTATGTGAATGGATACTTGAGATCGCTACTATAAAAAGAGACCAGAAAGAGAGAGACTTGAACGCATTTCCATGTTTGGAAGTTGGCAAGGGGAAATCTTCCCTAGGAGCTAAAGATAATATATCTTATTATTATGTTTTGAACTGTTATAAACATATATATATATATATATATATATACAAATGATGAGTCCAAAATATTTAAATTTGAATACATCATTTGGGATGGAATTCATTATGCACCGAAGCTGCTAACGCATTAGTTGCAATTTCAAGTAATCTAATTAGGCTGGGTACCTGTATTATTTGCAATATTGTAGATCTGTCCCTCTAGTTTTTGAATTGACAAAATACACCCAATATGGCGCGTTCATGGGAATATAGATTTACCAAGAAAATGAAAAACAAAATATATATATATATATATATATATATATATAACATGGTCGAATAGAATCGATAATAATGAATACGACAAACATCACCTAGCAGCACAGTTTGTGACCAAACCAATGGATCATTTATCCTTGTTCTATGGGGGGTGTAAATTGTCAATTTAGTTAATTACGGGTTGAAAATGAAATTATTTGTTTTCTTCCGAATGACCGAAATCACACTTCGACACAATCTCTTCTTCCTCATCCTCAAACCAAATTTACACTATCCGTTGCAAGACATGAACTGTTCTCTATCTTCTTCTTCCCCCTTCTCATGGCCATTCTTCTCCTCTCCCTCTCCCTCCCTCCACCAAAGCTTAAACCCCAAAACCCTAACAGACCCATAATTCTCTCTCCTCCCTCACCTTCTCCAATTCTCAAAAACGTCACCTTTAGGAGAGATTTGATGCTTAAAGCCATACCTCTCTGTTTCATATCCTTGATCATTCAAAACCCACTTGCAGAATCTCTGGCGGATCCTTCCCCATCTACGAAACCGAGGAGTTTGAGCATCGCGAACACAAAGTCTTGGTTCCAGTTCTATGGCGATGGGTTCGCGATTAGGGTTCCTCCTGAGTTTGAAGACATCATGGAGCCTGAGGTCTAAATCTGTGACGAACAATTTCAATTGATAAATAAACTCTTTCTCTTTTCCCTTTCGCGGATCTTACTTTTGCTCGGTGACTGACAATTTGTTTCAATCTGGAATCGGATGATTTAGTGTCTCTTGCAAGTATTGCTCAAAGTCGTGAACTTTACACTCTCATCAGTTTCGCTCATAGTTTCGGGCTAAATTCGTGCCCGAATGGTGAATTTTAAGGGAAAATGCTGATTGATGGTGGACTTTATGTTTCAGTTTGAATGTTAGGAATTGGAAACGACCTTGCCATTGAACAGATTAGATTGGATTTTATCTGATGAGATCATTCCTGAGTTCTGAAAAAGTTTTCTGATTTTAGCCATTTTCTGATGACAAGATTCATTGTTCTTGACAGAGTTTTGTTGCCTGATGATGATCTATAGGATTACACTGCAGGATTGTCTCTTTACGGGGACAAGGCGAAGCCCAAGACTTTTGCCGCGCGCTTTGCCTCTCCTGATGGGTATGTTCATTCTCAGCTGATCAAGCTTTTAGATTAAGCCATGTCCTGTCCTGTCATGAATTCCTTGCTTTGCTTTCGTAAACCAGACAGCTCTTCTTATACGTTTCCATCCTTGTCTCGTGGATGCAGATCAGAAGTCGTAAGCGTCGTGATTCGCCCGTCCACCCAACTCAAGATTACTTTCCTCGAGGTTTGTCCGAAACGAGATCTTCCTTACCATAATCTTCTTAGCATATGAAAATGCTCTTTGGTTCAAAACAGGCGAAAGATATATCCGACCTGGGATCGTTGAAGGAAGCAGCGAGAATCTTCGTTCCAGGTTCTGTCACGATCCAAATCTCGAAGACCTTTGGAAACCCTTTATGAGCTTTGATCTTTTCGTCGTTAGTTTGATGTTTGTTTTCATCGTTGTTCGTCGTGGTGATGGTTAATCTCTAGCAGGTGGAGCGACGGTTTATTCTGCTCGTACAATAAAGATAAAGGAAGACGAAGGTTTCAAGACTTACTATTTCTATGAGTTTGGTAGAGCAGAAGAACGGATAGCGCTTGTGGCTGCCGTGAACAACGGGAAGGTACTGCGACTAAAACCCGATTCTTTAACCTATCTTTCGTTTGATTTGATCGATTCGATCAATCGTCCTTTTTCATATTCATTGTAAAGGCTTACATTGCTGGAGCGGCAGCACCGAAATCCAGATGGAATGATGACGGTATCAAGCTCCGATCTGCTGCGATATCGTTCACGATTCTGTAATCGCCCGATAGATCATCTTTCCACGTTTTACGCTGTCGAAATGTGAAACGCGTATTCGGGTTGATCAAGAAACGCGGAAAAGAGAGCGACAGATCGAGAGAACGCACGCGGGTTCGATGGCGACTGATTGAACGTAAACTGAGTTCTTGTGATATTTTTGGTAGATGTGATTTCTGTTTCTTGATTTTGATGATATTTTTAGTTATAATTCCATTGAATTCCATTTAGCCGATAGCAATGTATAATGAACAAAGAACAAATGAAAACGCTTTGATCCATGTTAGTTCTCAGCCAAGTGCGTTTTCAGTCGCTGCGATCATATCGCGTTTTAGAAAACGCATAATATTTGCCCGTGAGGGTGGGCACGGGTCGGTATCCGAGTTTTCCGATGTATTTGATTTCTGTCCCGTGATGGTTAGATTTCCGCTAGACACTCGTGAGGCAGCCGACAAGGCGAGAGGTTGAACTTCCAGATTATAAAAAAAAAAAAAATTTGTCGTCTCTCATCTTCCGTTGAAACCCTAATATCAATCTTAATCCCTCGCGATTTTTGCGGAACCCTAATTTCTAATCTCTTTTTTAGTATGGGTGGACGTTTCGGTAGCTTATTCGGGAACGGTTCGGTTCAGTTTTTTCGGTTTTACAAAAGTATGTATCGATCGGTTATTATATTATATTCGGTTCGGCTCGGTTTCGGTTCCAGTTCGGTTTCGAAAAATTCAATTTTCTAAAAAAATACCGTTCGTGAATTTCTTATGGTTCGATTCAGAGAAAATACCGTATTTTTCGATTCGGCTCCGGAGAACCGTATCAAAACGCCCATCCTTACTTTCTAGTCACCGTCCGAGCTAGGGACTCTTGTTGCTGCGTCTCGTCCTCCCCTTACCTTCTCTCTTTCGTCTCGAATTATCTGTAGATACATGCAGTCGACCGACGAAACTCAACTTCGGATATCAACGACTCGAAAATTCGGATAACCGCGGTATCTAAAATTCGGTTAACCGCTATGAGTCTCAGCGATCTAATTAAGCGTTGCAAAACTATAGCCAGCACACTATAATTTGCGTTTGCGTTTGCGTTTGTTGTATTGTCCGAAGACGAGAGACAAAAAACGAAAACGATGAATGCATTAATCATCATGCCCGTGACTACATTAGCTGAAATGAATAAATCATCACACATATATATATATATATAACTGCTCATTTGCATTATGATTAACCCGTATCTGCTCCGACACGACAGACACATACATTATGCATGTGCATATATATATTTTAACACATGCATGTATATATGTATATGTGTGTTTATATATATATAATGATATATTCACCGCAGAGCATTGGCAAAGGAGACTTGAATCTCTTCTAACGTTAGCCCTTTGGTTTCGGGGACCAGACACCACGTGAAGACGATCGTCATTCCGCATACAACGGCGAATATTGTAAACGTCCCTGCAATTTTTTTACATGAATAAAATAAAATGAAAATGCATGCATCCATGCACAAATTACATCATTTAAAGCAATATAATATAATTTAAATTCTCCTTTAGATTCGACTATATTTAATTATATATATATATATATATATATATATATATATGAGGAATATTGTTACCTGTGTGGCTCCATTGAAGCATGAAATTGAAACAATAGGTTATGACCCAACTAGTGGACCAATTAGCCATGGTCACTATGCTCCCAGCTAACACCTTCATATTAATTGGAAATATCTGAAAAATAAATAAAATAAAAATTATATCAATATTAAATTCATTATTGCAAATCATTAGAAAGCTATATATATATATATATGATATCCTGCACGCACACACACCTCAGACATTATAATCCACGGCAGTGCCCCCAAGCCCACCGCAAACGTCGTATTGTATATCTGTTTCGTACCATTACAAATTCCGATTTCGTTACACATTAATTATAAACCGAAATCGATCGTTATTAATTATTTTTCGCGATTCTGATCATCGATATATCACGACTTCTTACCACCGTGCCGACAAAAGCGAGAACTGGAGTAAGGTTTTCGAACCGAGGAGAACTCTGAACCCCAAAGGCGACACTCAGGACAATGCAGCTTGAACACATTCCAATTGCCGATGCCTGCAAAGTGGATTACCATATTTTTATCGGATGGACCGACCGAATTTAAATATCGAAATCGATCGTAATAGATTTGGTCTCCTGACCATAAGGAGTGGCCGTCTTCCCCATCGATCCACGAGTATCAGACCCAGCAAGGCTTTTGGTACCTATCATGGAGATGGTTTTGGGGTTTAAAATGTCGTTATCGGATCAATAGCGTTATTATTGCAAGGACGAAAAAATATGGGGTCAAAAGGTAAATATGTAAAATATATGGGCATAACTGAAAATATTGAAATTGTGTATTGGTTCTCATTTTCTTGATAATTGTTAAATGGAATCGTAAATATTGAAACTGTCTATTTGACCCTCCAGAGAAGCTTAAAAGATGGCCGAGCCTTTGATGTACATACCATGATGAGAGACAGCGATGTCATCCCAATCTGAGACGGAAATCCTGAAAAAAAAAAAACAAACAAATCGATTTTGATTTTTTTTTTAAATTTATTTTCAGAAATTTTTTAATTAATGAGATAGTTAAATTAATTAAATCAAATAACGTGATCATATAAATAAATACAAATTTTTACCAGCGAATTCGAATATGCTTTTCGCGTAATACATAACGCCAGCGCTTCCCGACAATTGTTGGAGAAGCATCAATCCTATCCCAACCTAATTTAATTAACCGACAAAAAACATTCAATTGATTTTCGTATTTAATTTTATTGTTATTTTCATCTTCTTTATTTATTTATTTATTATTATTATTATCACAAATGAATTATATATTATGTTATATCTCACTGTTAGTTGACGAGCATATCGTTTTCTGAAAAGATTCCTTAAGCCGATGTTCGAATTCTGCTTTGAAACCTCAACGGAATGCTGCCAAAAAAAAAAAACTGTATGAATATTTTGGTTTTACATTGGAAATTATTGTAAAGAATTTATTAAATATATAGGTGATACAAATGCTGAACGTCGCCCTTATATAGATATTGCTACAACTTATAACTTGTTATATATATATATATATATAATTCTGTATATGTTTCAAATGTGAACGTTACCCTGATTTCACGAGCTTCTTGAGAAATATCTGTCTTTTTTCCTCTCAATCTCTGAAGAACAATCTCGAATTCTTTTTCTTTACCTTCTTTTGCCTGTAATCACATTGAAAATATCAAATAATTTATAATTTTGTAATCATTAAAATAATTAATTAAGTCAAGGGATTAAAATAGGACTAACCAGCCATCTTGGAGATTCCGGAATGAAAAACAAACCGATAACTTGCATTATACACGGAATAACACCTAACAAATAGATTGATTTCAAATTAATTTTTGTTGGCAATTTAAAATAGTCATTAAATACTCAAGGAAATGAAGAACTATTTTTTCTCTCTCTCTCTCTCTATATATATATATATATATATAAAGAAATGGTAAGATAGAATCACCAAGTATGGCAAGTGTTCGCCAATGGAAGAAATTCCCAAGAACATAATGAATTAGTGTGATCACCATAAATTTAACGTTATAATCAATAAAATCAAAATATGATCCCACTATATTTTGGATCACATGAGTGCCACAGTTGGAGAAGAGTATGAGTTAAAAGTAAAAATAACAGAGTAAATATATTTTTGATATAATGAGGATTAAAAAAGTAAAACACCTTCACGGATCTTCTCGCTACGTAACCCCTTAAAGAGATTAATTTTCAGCAAACAGGAAAAAAAAAACTCAGACCGACAACAGATCCCTGAAAGATTGGTCGGAGTTCGAACACGTGCGTAAATATTTCTTGGTTTACAGAGACAGTGACTCTCTGTATCTTTTTTTTTTAGAAAATAAATTATCCTCTCAACATTATATAAAAAAAAATCAGACCCACATCACATGCATGTATATAATATACACGCGTTGCTGGATATATCATATATATATATATATACAGAGAGACAGAGAGAGAGTCGTACGGCGATGCCGAAGGTGAGAGAGCCACAGACAGTGATGAAGGTGCTGAAGACAACGAGAGGAGAAGCGGTGCTGTTTGGTTTCGTGTCTGCTTCTCGTCCTCTGTTACATTCCGCCAACAGCCCTCTCTCCATATTCTCTCCCTCCATTTTCAACACGATGATGACGATGATGATGAAAGCTTTCTTTCTTTCTCTCCCTCCCTCTATATATATATATATATAATATGATCAGAGAGAGAGAGGGGGGGAGAGAGAATTTGGTATATGATATTTTGAGAAGGGTGTAATTTCGATTTTGGTGATAGGAACGTGTGGTTGTTCGAAACTCTGTGAGGATAAAGAGACGATTGTTGGGAACTATATATATATATATATATATATAAAGTTATTATACACGTAAAAAAATGTGAAAATCAATGGAAAAATGCCTTAGCAAGTGCAATAGCAAGCCAACCAATGATGCAGAATATCTCAGCAAGCCACAACGTCTGAATCGAGATAAGGAATCAATTTAGATCAAATATAGGGGTCTATCTAAAATATACAATAAGTTATGGGAAAATAATAGAATATTGGGATATTGGGGGTCAATAATGAAAATACTTAACTACTTTACGGCCAAAGATTGCTGCAATCTTGGCGCTAAAGATTGCACCAATCATTCCTCCGAAGGTGAGCAGCGAACCAAAGAACGAGTACTGTCAAAAAACAATATAATTACAAAAACAAAATTAATTAAATTAACAAAGTTTCAACCGAGCAGAAAATTGGTAATATAATATACACACATATGCATCGAGAGATACGGATAAAGTTTTATTAAAAATGCAAATTATGTGATGGATATCCAATATATTTGAATTTAAGAAGATATATTTATCATTTTAAAAATCTTATATAAAATAATTATAATATACTATATTTATTAAGATAAATACCAACCTAGATCCATTACGCGTGATACATACATGTGACAAAACAAATATGATATATATATATATATAGGAATATCCCAGAAAAAAATACTTGATCTTTTCAATTTTCATAAAATAAAATCTAAAATTTGTTTTTTTGTTGTCAAATAAAACATCAACTTAATTTTAAAATTATAAATAAACCTAAACTTTATCATTTTTAAACTCATCGATAATGATGTGACGTAATGATATCGTGATAGATGAGAACATCTCATATATGGTCAAATATTGCGACATATGGGTACATCACGTCAACATTTAAGTTTAAAAATGATAACGTTTATAAAGTTTGAATTTATTTTCGAATGAAAAACGAACGAAGTTGGAATTTTATTTAACAAAAATTAAAAATTAGGTTTTATTTTATAAAAATTGAAAAGTTTAGATAATGTTTTTTTTTTCCTATATATAATGATGGATCGAAGGCTTACTTGTGCCAGTGAAACATCCAAATCTTCCATAATAGAAGACATAGTATCTGCCGTATAGCCTAACTGCGTACCACCAAAAAAAAATTGAAATAAACTCAGACAACGATTAATTTTGATGCAAACGAAAATGATAATGCACATTAGTTAGGTTACAAATACAAATGGACCCCACAAATCTTTTTTGAAATCAGTCCATATGTTTTAATATCATGATTCATGTCCACGTGAACAGTCGGTTAACATTACTTATATGCTTCACTCCCTTTCCCATTCTAATTTAACCCTAAACTACGGTTATGTCTAAACGTATAATATATATTTCTCACACACACACATGCATACATATATATATATATATTATATAAACGGCAATAATGATTATACAACAATACACACGGGTTAATTAATATTTAATTAGTTGATTGGTCAAGTAAGGATTAAAAAGGAATATTATCAAAAATACTCTTATTTTGCTATTTTGATTTTAACACATGCCATTTTTAAACTGTGACCATGTGACCCATGTAATTTGAAATATAGTGTGGTTATATATTAATCTTATTGTTCAAAACGTTAAATTTATGATGTTTTAATCAAATGATTAGTAATATATACAAGGTATAAACATAGATATGAACATAATGAATTAGTGTGATCACCATAAATTTAACGTTATAATCAATAAAATCAAAATATGATCCCACTATATTTTGGATCACATGAGTGCCACAGTTGGAGAAGAGTATGAGTTAAAAGTAAAAATAACAGAGTAAATATATTTTTGATATAATGAGGATTAAAAAAGTAAAACACCTTCACGGATCTTCTCGCTACGTAACCCCTTAAAGAGATTAATTTTCAGCAAACAGGAAAAAAAAAACTCAGACCGACAACAGATCCCTGAAAGATTGGTCGGAGTTCGAACACGTGCGTAAATATTTCTTGGTTTACAGAGACAGTGACTCTCTGTATCTTTTTTTTTTAGAAAATAAATTATCCTCTCAACATTATATAAAAAAAAATCAGACCCACATCACATGCATGTATATAATATACACGCGTTGCTGGATATATCATATATATATATATATACAGAGAGACAGAGAGAGAGTCGTACGGCGATGCCGAAGGTGAGAGAGCCACAGACAGTGATGAAGGTGCTGAAGACAACGAGAGGAGAAGCGGTGCTGTTTGGTTTCGTGTCTGCTTCTCGTCCTCTGTTACATTCCGCCAACAGCCCTCTCTCCATATTCTCTCCCTCCATTTTCAACACGATGATGACGATGATGATGAAAGCTTTCTTTCTTTCTCTCCCTCCCTCTATATATATATATATATAATATGATCAGAGAGAGAGAGGGGGGGAGAGAGAATTTGGTATATGATATTTTGAGAAGGGTGTAATTTCGATTTTGGTGATAGGAACGTGTGGTTGTTCGAAACTCTGTGAGGATAAAGAGACGATTGTTGGGAACATCTGACAAAGGTGGGTCCCTCCGCCTCCGCATATACGAATGACTTCACACATGCATGAACGTACATTAGGGATGGTTAATTGCGCTATATATGTTATATAAGATATGGTATTATCAAAAGTAAATAAAATGCATCCATCACTTGTCCATATATATATGAATACGATGTATCGTCGATAAAAATTCGGCTTTTGGATTCAAGTGTATAGATTTTGGTCGGAGATTATTTATATCTGCCGATATTAAATTTAAATGCACAAAAAATTTTCGAATTTTCGATCAATACCCCGTCATTAATTAATAATCGTCACATAACATGCATATGCCGTATATCGTGTCTATATAAACATATACGACATATATTAACGTATAACACGTGACCTAATTGGAGTTCAAGAAGAAGAAGAGTAATTTAGGAGGGCGTGGAGAGGATGCAACGGTGCTTCCAATAATGCGAAATGGGCCATCAATCACATGCCACGACATGCATTATTAGAAACATGCGGTCGCTTTCTTTGTCGTGACTTCTTAAAATCATTTTTGTCCTTATTCCCTTAAATACATACATACATACATACATACATACATACATACATACATACATACATACATACATACATACATACATACATACATACATACATACATACATACATACATACATACATACATACATACATACATACATACATACATACATACATACATACATACATACAAACAAAAAACAAAAATTTAAAAAACACGGAAATTCCGCAAAAAGTTTTGAAATTAATATTAAAACAAAAAATCAATTGGTGCACTTTTGTCAATCCATGTTTCACGGGAAACTTTCGAATTATAAATATATAATATAATCAGAAAAAAATTAAACACATTAAAATAAAATTTCAAGTCCATTATTTTCCTATATATATATATATATATAACTTTTCATTCAGTTTTATTTGTTTAATAGTTGTGTGGTGGTTATATCATTTTTTTATTATAGTTACTTTGTTCTAATGCTTATCCAATATTTATTATCAGGAATTTTTATTTTAATAAATGCTGTTAACAATGACGTATAATAAACTTCGAACCGAAAACAATCACGTGTTAGACTAGTTTTATGTCATGTCTTAATATAAAAACGTGGAGGGTTTTTTTTATCAAAATAAAAATAAAAATAAATATAAAAATGTGGAGGGTAAAGAACATTGTATCCATTAGGATGTGAAAATGTTTTTTTTTTCTATTTTGTAAAAACTATACATATTTAACCGGTTCTCAATTCCGCAGGCTGGTTTGGATTTTATCTTACAAAATTTATTTATAAAAAATTAAAATTTATGTTATTTCACATTTCATAATTATATATCTATTATTTAATTTAGTTTGATTGAAATTATCCTATACAAAAATATCCATAGATAATTAATCTAATTATTAATTTAGTAAATTAAGTTGTTAAACAAAAAAAAACGAGGGATTCGAATTTTTTCTTCTCAGGGAGGTTTTGCGGCTGAGAGAGAAAATAAAAGCATATTCTTCGGAACTTTCGGCAACAAATGAAGGAGAGAGAGAGAGAGAGAGAGAGAGAGAGAGAGAGAGAGAGAGAGAGAGAGAGAGAGAGAGAGAGAGAGAGAGAGAGAGAGAGAGGAGAGATGTCCGTACAAATCCCTAGAGAGAGAATCAAAGCATTGCCATACTTAGGATTTGAGAAAAATAAAAAAGGATTAGTGATATTAGAGGATATAATTAATAGCTTAACAAAAGATCAAAAGATTCGATTTTCGGTCAACTTGAAATCAATACATATAATATACGTGTGTGTGTATATATATACAACGACAATATTTCTTTCTGGTTCTCGAGGTAAGACACAATTCGAATTTCTTTTGAATTTTTGTTTAATGGTCGTCTGCTTTCTACGGTGGTTTTCGTTTTCTCTGCCTCTTGTTTAGGTTTCCGGGAAAATCTTTCAAGTTTCCGGGAAAATATTTTTACATGGCTGTAAACAAAAGCAGTGAAGCTTCCCCCTTGTATTGTGCTCTTCCAAGGTAATGAAATGATGCCCCCTGTTCTTCTTCTCCGTGTTCTTTATCAGTTGAGGACAAGCAATTAATATATTAATGTCTTAAAAATTATGTGAAAAATCTTCACTTTTTCCTGTTCTTTCTCTCAAACATTACATGAAATGGGTGTCTGTCCCAAAGTCTGTTTTTTTTGTTCTTCTTTACGTTCTTCTTGCTGTTTCATCATCTTTTGAGTTGCTATGATACATTAATTCCAGATTTTCTCGCGTTTTCTCGGGAAAATAAGGTTTCCAAGCGGATTGTCACATCTTTTTTCCCGGGAAAATAAACGAAGAACAGCTTTCTCTCATTTTCATTTTCTTTATATTTTTTTTACAAATCTGGTTTTGTATATCTTGTTACACAGGGATAAATCTAAAGGTTCGAGTAATGTCGATGAAGAAGAAGATCAAGACATCACTCCCATGACAAAACACAAAAGAGCTAAAGCTGTTCTTAAGGCTACTGCTTCGGCTCACGGTAAACGACTTGTCTCGAAACCCTTGTGTCGGATTCTCGATCCTTCCTTGCACGCCAAGAAACCCTAGATGAATCTTTTTGATCTTTTTTTCTTTTTCTTTTTTCCCCGTAGATTTGAGATGTCTAGAAATGGAGAACGAGAAGAACGATCCGTCTTCGCCTCGGGGAGCCCTCGAGGCGTGTTTGATCCGATGCTCGTTCGCCAACCCATCATCGTCGTCGTCATCATCCTCTTCCGAAGATCCTGCAGATGGCGCCGAGATCAAGTGTAAGAACCCTAGGGCGGTTTCCAACTGGAGCAAGTTCTTCAAGCTGTGGAAACGCAGATCCTTCAAACGCCTCTCCACGTTCCCTCCTCCCCTCGGAGCCTCTGTTTTGTCCAGAAGGAAAGAAGCTTCCTCTAATCCAGACGACGGCCTCGTCCTTCACGACATCTACAACTTCCAGTCTTCCCTCCATAATTTCTCGCTCTCCGACCTCAAATTCGCCACCGACAATTTCAGTTCCCGTACGTTTTCCGCTTCAGACACGAGCTTGAAGAACTGACGATTTCGGTTTCTTTGTCTGGTTTGATCGTATATGGACCCCTTTTTTTTCCGGCAGAGAACATGT